TTGTGCATTTTAAAATAAAAGGCTCTTCCTCTCTCAGCTTGAATGCAGACCTGCGAATGCCACACACCGTAATTCCATTGGGCTCTGTTTGAAGTTCTGAGGACATGATGACATTTCAAAGACCATGTCCTTAAAGGAATGTGTAAACTTTACTGGTATGAAAATAAAAAAGGTTACAACATCTATTCAACACTTATTTATAACCAATAAACTGGAAAAACAAAACATTGCCAACAATATACTGAAAAGGTGCCAACCACTACAAGCCTCCCTTTTAACACATTTATCTGGGCCAACTATCAGAAGAAAAAAAGTACTTCCTACAAATGAAAAATATGAAATTGTATACACTAGTCTGTAACAAGACCAACATCAGCACAGGCAGAAATAAACCTAGAAACCACAACTTCCTCAGGAATAGACCTTTCAAAGATTTTTATATTTATTCAGCATGAGCTTAATGGGTACTGCAGACATCTTTGATGCAAAGGGAAAGAATTGTCTTTATCCACTAGGAAGTACTCTATAGTCAGGGATGGAAAGCAGGTCTCATCACTGATGTGCTTTCCAACTGTAATAATGATAAAAGTCCAATCCACTGTCACACTGTAGTTGCTAACAGGTCTTTCTTTAGACCACACACAAGTTTTCCTGTGTTGAAATTGAAAGGATAAAGTAAATGAAAGATGGGACCGAACATGAACATGAAAGAAAAATACTGAAAATTGAGCAATGAGCATTATTCACTCTTAGTAACGTAAGCAGCAAAATAGCATGCATCAGTTTAAAACTAATGCTAACACACACACATAGTGCATGAGACTGAGCAGCTACAAACTCTCTCTCCTCACCTAGTTATCTTCTGTCTCAAGTGTCTTCTGCTACTGCATGAAGACGACACAATAAAAGTCTATTGCCCATGGCCCTCCTACCCACTAATAGTACTGTTCGGGTGTGCTCTCAAGAAACTCTCTGAAACACTGTTCTTCAAATGTTATTTTATATATATGTATATTATGTATACATATCTCTTAACTCACTTTGGTAAGTCTTGAAAATCAGTCATTTTTTTCAGCAAAAGCATATAAATCAACAAGATTTACCAGAGTTATCGTTAGAATTCACATGATACGGACACACACAAAGGCCCCACCCTCTCTCCACTCCATTTCAATATGGGTAGGGTTGTATTTACTCCTTTAAAACCATATTTAATAATCATACACATAAAGAATTCACAGGGAATATAGTAAGTAAATTCACTATGAATTAATAAGGTTCCAATGAATAATATCAGAATCTTTTGGAAATAAAAATGCATCATTCAGTGTCTAATTCATAAGGCCTTTGATTCTCAAATAAGTGTTACCCGTACATTTAGGTGTCTCTCTATCCTTCTAACAACTAAACACTCTTTGCAAGTTGCCTATCATCTTTACATGTCAAGTGCAGTTTGAAATTTGCTTGTAAAGACTTCCTACACTTAGCAGGGGTACAATTCAGAGTAGATTGAATATTTGAATTAAAAGGCTGAGGCCCAGAAGTATTTTCTTCCATCTTCCATGTCTCTGTTTCTACCAAAGCGTAATACATCTCCATTCCACCTTAAATACACATTCAGATCCTTGCACAACTCTGAATTATAGATTTGATCAAGTGGCATGAAAAGATTACACTCTATTTCTGTTAAACTAAGAAATACCAGACAAGCTTCTCTTTCTTAATATTTAAAGATACCATCTCCTGTTCAGAAAAGCTTAAACTATGCACTGGTTTTATCTATTTTGAAACCATTCTGAGCCACAGCCATCAATCCAAAAGATTTAGTATTTTTTTCTAAGCAGTCTTTCATTCTTTAACAAAAGTAAGACATTGGGATGGTACTTAAAGCCATTAAGATGCATATAGAGTAGCCTCTAGCAACTTTCAACCTATTTAAACACGCAGCCTCTTTTGTTTCCATACAAATATTCAAGTATTTTAGTAAACATTTTGTAGTTTAATAGGCATCAGTGTTTGTTAATCTCATAAATAACTAATAAATTCCATTCTTGCAGTGAGCACTAAGTATTCAACGGGACTATGCACAGGCACGCGAGACCACTGAGATAGAGGTCACTGCAGGATAATGTTCTTCTAAGTACCGTAGCCTACTTACTGTGTTGAAATGATTCATTTTTACCATCATCTTGCAAATTCTAAATTGGTAATTATAGTGATTATCAATTAGCATCTCATTACTGTTTGATGACACACAATGACTTGAGGCTAGCTAGCACCTAATACTCAAACTGAACAAAAATGCCAAGTGGCACCATGGCAGAGGCTAGCAGGCATGAAGAACCAAATGGGCAAAGAAATGTACAACTCTTTTCAGACTCTTAAAGGTTAACTGTCCCCACGAGCTTCCCATTCACACACGGGGAATGCGGAAAGCAGGGTGGGCAGGGTGACACATGCACGGGCTGAATGCATTTCTGGGCAGACCTGCAGCCAGCACAGAAGTGAGGGTGCCATCCCAGACTGTATTTGTGGGACAAGCCACTGCCTGCCTTTTCCGTCTCTTCCATAATGAGAAGGTCTTCACTAACCGTGCTGAAGTTTGAAGGGAATGTTCTGCTATCCAGGATAACAAAACATTGTACATTTCAGAATAAGTAAATTCACTTATAAGTGAAAAACATCATATAAAGCATTATATTATCATTATGTAATTATGTAATGCAAGTACCAGGGAAAACAGATGCTGAAGAGCTCAGTATGAAGTGTATTTACAAGTTGGTTTGTCTACGTTTCTCCTGCAGATCTGCTTATGTGCATAAGATACTCAAGCCTACAGAATACTCAAACAACCTGTTGCTGTGGAAAATATTTTCTTTCACTTTACAGGACAAGGTATTTAACCTCAAAGACCTTATCCAATGTTTCCTATGAACTAAGGAAGTATGGATATATACGATGGATGTACTAAAGAAATCAAAGAACAAAAGAGACCCCTGACTTACAAACATATACAAATTTTGGACAACCTCATAGAAGTACAACACGAACTGGTTTGTGTGACCTCCACATTGGCTTGTGTGTTACACAACCTTTAAAGGACTACCCGTAAAATGAGTATTTCCTCATACTCATTATTACATGAAAAGATAAACCTACTTTGTTCCTACATAATCTAATTGTTTATCTTCCATTGTTTAATTACTCCATACCTTTATTTGCAGTGATTTTTCTCTTAGAATATAGCTTTTTCTCTTTGCTTCCCCTTCCCTCTTAACTACAGGTGGGTAAAACTAACTTGGTGCTAGGACTTCTGTTTAGGATAGCGTGTAAACACTGTTACTCCCAGAGAAGCTTGTCATCTAAAACTAACAATATTGAGAATACTTCGTAATCTGAAGTGTTATGTTGAAATGTTTTTCCATACTATGTGCTAAACAAAAGTTTTAGTCTACTTTTTAGTCCAGTAAATTGGCTAGTTTACTACCAAAACTCCTAGGAAACTGTTTTACAGGATATATAAATTGATTTCTGAATCACTTGCACCTAAAGCTGGCCTCAATTAAAATCTTTTGCATTTTTAATGTAAACAGCATTGTCAGTCACTTGCCTTTCCAAACAAAGTATTGTGTGGGCATCTATCAACAAATGGAAAAAAAAAAGAAATGTTAATTTTAATTTGCAGGGAGAATTATGTTTTGTTTCAGAATAACAATAGCCTGCAAGGGCACGCAGGCCTCAGCATAAGTAGTTTGGGAATAGAAATGACAGCATAAACAGAGCATTAAGAAAGGTTTGTGAGGGTGGAGTCCATTATTAAATACTGGATTAAAGCTCTTTTGTATCCTGCGGCTCAAAACTTTCAGAGGGTGCAACAGTAAACCCCGAACAGGCGAACTACAGTGGATTTGGCACTATAACCTCCCTTCCTTAGCACACAAAACCATCCAGTTATTAAAACTGAAGGCAGTGTTGTTCCCCATGAAATATTCACATCCAAAGAAGTAAAGCACAAAGCCCAGCCCCTTTATAGAGCATTAACTTCCGCTTTTAATAACTTACCGTCCCACACTACACAGTTCAGCATTGTGCCGCACACAGCACTCCAGCCAGACAATACACACAGCAATAAAACTCAACCCAGCAAAGAAAGTGAAAGCTGCATTTGTTCAGCATGTTATTTTGTGCAGCCAACTGTAAGGCTTCTGCCTGCCATTTATTGTTTATTCTATCAAAGAATTATTAAGAATTAAGCTACATTTGGCAATTTTTTGAGAAGGGAATTTAGATGCAAACTGACTGACACTTGATATTTAAAGTCTATTGGACGACTCTGACCCTCCGTTTACAAGTGACTCATTTGACTGCGAGGATCTCTGATGTGGAAATGCCCAGATACGAATCAATCGCAGTTTTTGTCTCGGTTAAATGTTACTTGGCAATCCAAGAGCAACGGACAATGCTCGAACCGAGGTTCACATAGAATGGTCCTCATATGTTTAAAGAATTCCTTTTACATGCCTGACTTAGCTCTAGCCTGTGGATTTATGTCGCTTTCTCCTAATAACTTATCTCAGTGCACAGTGTTTTTAAACACACACGACCAGCAGTTAACTCTTTTGCTGCCTTTAAAAAAAAGACGAAAAGGAAAACCACACACAGTGAAATGTATAGGCACGTTTAAATAAATAAAAGGGCAGGTTTGATCCCAGTAAGGCTGTTGATTTGTTGATCTTTGTAGAAGATGGGGGGGTAGGAGACGGATAGGAGGACAAGGGAGAAGAAACACATAGGTGTAGTTTGCAAATGCTTGTTCCTTAAAGGAAAAATTGTGTGGAAGAAATAACCATTTCTACATGGAATCAGCTCAGTGCACATTCTGCAGTTTGTTATTTCAGACAGAGCCAAAGTAAAATGGTATATCTTTACACGAGCAAGATTTCCTTCCTCTTAAGAGGCAGATGCAGCATTTCTATAAACAAAAATGTCTCTAGCCCTACCTTGTGCCAGTGCTTGCAACATGTGGACCTGGAGCAACAGAAACGCCCACCATCCCCGACAGAAGAAGGAGCACAAGTTTAACTTTATCATCACGCCGTCTGCCCAGCTATTCCTCCGGGCGGCAATTCCACGATCCACCTTTCTCCCAAAGATTGCTGTCCCCGTCCGGCTCGGCCCCCCGCCGCTGCTGACGGCGCGTTGGTCACTGCTCCTTCCGCGCCCCGCGGCCGGGCTCCCTTTGGTGACTTGGGAGCATCGTCCACCTCCCCTGCCCCGGAGCCTGGGGGAGACAGAGGGCCCCACTCCGTAGTTGCCGAGGAGTCTTTGGTTTGTACCCACTTTGCACGCCAGCTGACAGCAGCACTCCGCACGCCTCGCTGTGTTGCAATCCCCACCTAAGTCAATGCATTTTGTGGAGGTATTGACTGCACCAAAACAACCAGTCAGAAATGGGAAACACATGTTTCTCTGCACTAGCACATCCAATGCCTTCAGCACAGAGGGAGCAAGTTTCTCGGCGTCAGTATTTTAGTAAATCCGCATCTTCTAGCACGGTGGAAGGCTGATCCATCGTATCCACCAGCACACAACCCAAAGAGTACCTTTCACTGCACAAGGACGATGGAAACTGTTACCTCTGTGATTTTTATGAAGTGTGGTGAGTTTTCCAGCATGTATCCCATTCCCTGGTAAAAAGCTTGCTATGGAAGTGTTAAATTCTTGTACAAAGTGGGGAAAAAAAAAGAAAAATAAATAAACTAAAAATGAGGAGAAAGTACCTCACTGTTCCTTGCGCTGAAGGATTTATTTCAGACAATTTCAAAATTAGCCATGCAGACAGAGTAGTCTCCAGATATCCCCGCAAAGCTCTGCATAGTTATATTAATCCGATTTTCCTCTGGATACAAATCTGTACCGTCAATGGGAGGGTTTGGAGAGCCCTGGGCCAGGTAAATCAGCAGCTCAGGCAGTGATTGCAGCTCTGTGCAGCCAGACACAGGCCGGGGGGGTCACGGAACTCTCCCGTTCCGCCGGAGGTAGCGAAAACCTCAGTGGATCTTCCCTCCTCCCGGAGATAGGTGCAGACCTGCGTCTTGCAGGGAGACCACGGCAAAACAAACAGCCAAAAAATTTTAAAAAATCACCTCTCACACGTAAAGCGTTTTTCTTCTGGCCGGTTACGGCAGCAACAAGGAAACAAACGCTCAGCAGGAGAGTGTCCGTGGCGGGGGAAGGGAAAAATCTCCCCAAACAAACAGCAACAAGGTGAAATCCTCCCAGCTTTGCTTGGATGGGCTCCCGCCTTCCTTGCTCGCGCAGCCCGGGGATCCTGGCTCTTCCTCCGAGCGTCTCTTCCCCGCAGAAGCTGTAAACACAAAAGGGAGAAGAGCGTGTCACCACAGCAGCACTAGCGGCAATAAAACCTTACACAATTAAAAAAAAAAAAAAAAAGGCACGGAAGGCTTTAACGTTTAAACAATGCGTCCGGTATTGTTTCGGTCCCGCCTACCTCAAAAGGAAAAGTTTCGTGGGGGATACGTTCTCCACGGAATTACAAAGAATACGAGAAGTTAAAAAAAAAAAAAAACACACCCAGGCTTAAA